ACGTGTGCTTTTTGATTTCAATGGAAATATTTTTCTAACTTTGTTGCTACTGATGAAGAACGTTTAGCTATCTAATTGTATAATAATTGTACGAATAAAAGTATATTAAAAGTATTGTATCAAACATTGTTCTGTATTCGTATTGAAATAATCCAATAATCTTTGTTAATTATAAATATGTGTATAATAAATCAACTATTTGGTAGATATTCCAGAACCTGAATGGATGGACATTAATCAACAAATTGTTTGTGTGCTTTTACTTCTATTATTTGTCTTTAGTTTCGTTGTCTCGGCATGCCATTTATTTGTCAGAACAAAACATCAACATACTGTATCTCTCCTCCTATAAAAACAATAATCGTCATTTGTTAATTGAATAGTCAACACACAACTAATTACTAAATATCTCTATTGTTTGATAAGTTGCTTACACATACAATACATTTTTGATTATTTTAGGATCTTAAATAAATGTACTTAATATATAGAGATATGGTATCGATAATCATACACAAACACGTATAATGAACAGAAGCGTGTGAAAATAGAAACTAATCACACATACGAATGAATATATCTAAATAAACGATTATATTGTAAAAAAGTCACCTAAAAATCATCGATCTTCTTCACATTATTTAAATTAAAAGCGTGACACCTCTCTTCTATAGTTATAAATTAGATTTGATTGCACTTCTATTCACATTGTACGAGTTTTTATGTTTATCACTGCGATGATTTTTAGTTCAACGGCGTAATACTTTTATAATAGAGTATTCCTGGAACGAACGAGAAGTGCGGCTATGAAATTTTGTTGAAAAATTAAAAAAATTAGTTGTTCTGAACAACTTGAGGTTTGTCTTTCAAATGAATTGTGTTTGTGGAAGGATACGTATGATCTTTTTTTTTTTAAATTTATTTATTTACCTTCAAGCACCGTGGTTTTGCTTTTTGAACCATTTTAAAACTGAAAACAGCTCAAACAGGAAAAGAAGAGCAACAAACAAAAATGAAGAACAGAGTACTGTTTACAGAAAAAGCACACACAAATAAAAATACAAAACAAGTTGTATAATAGGAAAAATCTGCGTTTAAAGTTGTAGCTTAGCTGGTTTAGCATCTAGTTACATGTACACAAATATATATCAAAATGAAATATATACCAGAATATGAAATAAAACAAAAACAAAAACAAAAACAAGAAAAGAAAAATACACAAACAAACAAGGAACCTAAACTAATTGCACAATAAGGCTACATATTGATTTTGTTGATTTGTCGTTGCCGTTGGATCATCTTGCATACGTTGTAATTCTTTGACAGCAACATCAACGAGTAATTGAAAACCGGCTAAATCACCATTATTTGAAGAAGGAGATGGCAACGATGATGTCGACGACGACGGAGGTGGAGGTAATGCTGTTTTATCGAGACGAAAACGTTTAGCAGCATTATTATTATCATCATCAGCTTCTGACGGTGATTGTTGTTGTCGAGAATACAACAATTGATTATTATCAAACTCATTATCACAACTTTTTATCTTTGTAATAATTACTTCTTCACTGTCATTTGACGAAGATGTTAATTGACGTTTTCTCAATTCCGAAAGTACCGTATGAAGTACAAATGTTGTTGATGATGTTGAGCGAGTAAATGCATCATCATTAGTATTTTTTTGTTGATAAAAGTCATTCGATATTGACGACGACATCGGTGTTGGTGGCGGTGATATAATTGACGTGATACATTCTGACAAGTATTTTGGTGGACGCGCTATCGATGGTGTTGTTGGAGGCGTTAATGTTGTCGATCTATTAGGATGTATTTCAGATGCTATAGTACTACTATTACTATTATTGAAAACAACCGTTAAATTGCTGTTATTCGATGCTAAAGAATTATCCATTGTTGGAATATATAAAGATTTTCCTTTTGGATGAGTTGTCAAATAGTTGTTGCTAGGACATGTTGTCGTTGTCCGAATGGGTAACAATACTGATGCTGTGGCTCCTGCATTAGTTGCTGTAGTTGATACCGGTAATGTTTCAGTTAATTCTTTCGCAGTTGTCGTGTTTAATAATTGTGAATTTGACAATATAGAAGATGATGATATCTCAAGTTTGACTGGTGATGGACGCAGATCTAAATCGCCACCGTAAAATGAACTTTGTGAAACAATAACATTTAGTTTTATGTTATTTCTGGGTGTTTGTGGTGTAGGTGGAGGAAGTGGTGGAACACATAGAACTCTGCTCATTGTTCGATTATTATCATTGAATGCGCCATTATTTAACGTTATGATAGACGTGGTAGTGGTTGTGGCGGTATTTTCATTCGAATTCGATATAATATTATTGATATGACTACTATTATTGTTATTACCATCTACATCGCTCGTTACCAGTGATGATGAACGTTTATTATCCCTTGAAAATCTTCTTGATATTGTGTATTTTTTAGGATCAGTGCCTTCTTTTTTTAATAAATCAGGTAAAATTCGTCGTCGAGCATTTATAAACCAGTTACACACTTGATTTATCGTTAAATCAGCACGTCTGCTTAGGTTTGCTTTTTCATCATCCGTTGGGTAGGCATTATATCGGTGCTCATATAACCAATTTTTTAATATACGAACCTAGAAAAAGACGAAAAAGCTAAATTAACCTTTTACACTATTAAAAGAATAGAAATAATCCTTTGCATGAGTTATGCAGCAGTTTACAGTTCGCAATTCAGTATTCGAGTATGAGTATTTTTGAATAAAGTTATAGTAGGTGCATTCATTCGATTTTATCAAAGTTTACTTTTAGATAATTTAGTCCAAAAGTAAAATTGATACTTTAAAATTCATAGTTTTTGTTAGTGTCGATTCCAACAATTGTGCAGCGTTGTTTTATGCTTTGTTTTTCTTCTGTTCTATCCTAGTCTCTCTTTCAGCAAAATATATACAGCTTTTCTGTTCTGCGTATGTAGTCTCTCTCTCTGAAAATACCTAATGATCGACACACAACACACGTTTCATCCTCTCGATAATGTACTAAATAGCTCTCTCTCCGTCATATGTGTTTCTACTCTATGACATCTACTCTGTGTTTTGACTCATCATAAAGTATACAGGCTTTGGTTAGCACGGCAATGGGTGCCTGAAGTCCAACATTAGAAGTTGTATAAGAAGCTGTATTCATAGTTTTAGTGTTCGCTTCCAACAATTGTGGAAGGAAGAAAGAAGAAGAATACCCCGCCTTTCGGCTACCTTGCGGTATAGGGTGCTGTTCAGAGACAGTTTCGTAAGCCTGATATCTTTCCTACAACTAATACTAGCTGTAGCTGTGGACAGAAGGTCAGCCTGACTTAGAGTTCTTTCGCTCAATCGCTTGAGCGTGTACACACTGACTAACCATATACTAGTCACAAGGGCTGGTGTATGTCACAACGTAGTCAGTATGCTATCGGACGGGTGATCCGAGGCAAACAACCGTTAATGACTTACCCAGAGCCATTCCATGTCTGATGACGCCAAGGCTCGAACACAGTACTTTGGGAGTACGTGCCAAACAACTTAACCACACAGCCATAGCGGCAACAATTGTGTAGCGTTATTTTGTGCTTTGTTTTTCTTCTGTTCTATCCTAGTCTCTCTCTCTCAACACTTACGCTATCTTTTGGCAAGTTTGCACGACGTTTTTTCAATTTATTGTTATTGTTATTTGTCGATGATCCTGATAATATTGAATTTGATGAACTATCTAAATCACAATCAGAATCTGTTTCTTGATCACGTGTTTGACAAATAATATTTTTTCCTTGTGTGGTTTGATATGGGTGGTTATTGGTAGTAGCGTAATTGGATGATGGTGTTAATAATTGTCGTTGTTGACATATTTGTTGATGATAGATATCCTGGTGATAATTTTTTGGTGATTGTTGTATGATTGTTGTTTGAGACGGTGGTGATGTGGATGACAAATAGTTAAGTGTCGGTACTAAAGTTGACATTGTCTGATGTTGTTCTTGATATTGTTTTTGTATTATTGATGCTTCTTGATCAATCAACATTAGTGGTGAATGCTCTATAAGAGAAACAAAGAAAAGATAAAAGCATTTGACATCCAGAAAATTTGCTAAATGAACTGTTTAATTACACACGCACAAAGCATGAAGCAACAAGACGCTCGTGTTTTTTCGTTCTCTTTTTCTCTCTCTCTCTCACAATAATAGTATGAATAAGCTCAATAGTATTACACAAACGGAATTAGAAAAATAATTGAACCGTAAAAGCGAAATTTTTGTCGCACAATAGGTGCAATCAAAACGTCAATATAAATGTCATATTTAAATGAGACAAAAGTCTTTCGTTTAAAAAAAAGTCGAGATTTGAATGGTGACAACAAACATGTGAGATATCATAAAGGCGAAAAATGGAAAATCACTAGTCAGGTGTAATTGGTCATGTTACGTATTGTACCTGATTATATGATTAGAAATACTTTTAGTTCACCTTATCTACAACAATCAGAGTTATTTCAGATATTTTTCGGACAAAAATTATATTAGAAATTTAAGACACATTTTATAATCTTTTTATTTGTTAATATCATACACAATCACAATTGATAAGTGTCTATTGAAGAAACGATGCATCTTCTTTATAATTTACGTTTTGTTTTTTTCTAGTGGTAACAAACCGTAGAATTTTACACATCTTTTTTTCTTTGCGTATTTGTCCCGAAATGGGAATAACGGATTGAATTCGAAATGAAAATACTAAATTATTAAAGAAAATACTATATTATGTATAGGGAATATCCAAATGGAATTTATTATGTATTATACATCCCATATGCTCTCTTTCCCCGAACAAAGTCGTTTTTCGTTTCTTTTGTTGTTCTCTGTGTTCATTTTAAAGAATTCGTACTTTGTACATCCGACAAAAGAAGAAAGTTTTTCTCTCTTCTTTCAAAACAAATAAAAGAAAAAGAAAAAAAAAGTAATAATTATATTACTTGAATAAAAAAAAAAAAAAAAATACTCACCTATGAGAGTGTAACAGGAAAAAAATCACTCTCACATGCACAAACACTTAATACGGTATTCCACTCTAGTAACAATAGATTGAAAACAATAGTAAAGAAATGCTCTATCAAATATTAGTTAAATTTCGGTATATTTTTTTTATCCATATACATATAATATATTTAATATTATTGCCAGAGTAAACTGGACAAAATCAATCGACAAAGGATAATAAGATGACAAAACGTGACGTATTATAATTATTAGATGTCAATATATCGAGTTAATTTTATCTTTTTTGTCAATTATAAAGAACAAATATTTTTTCCCTCATTAAATGCAATATTTGTTTGCTTATTTTTTATCTTTCAGAAATATTTTTTTGTACTTTAATTATGACTTACAATCTTGTACAGACACATAGTTTAAACTATAGTTAGTTATTGAGAAAATCTGTGTATCATTTGTAAGTAATTGTCTCTTTCTCTCGTCTATTAACCATTGCTTTGTACAAGAAAAGATACATTTCTTTTGATTTTAAGGCTTGATCATTTGTCATGAAAACAAAAGATGCTAAATAATTCGGAACCTTGTCAAACGAATTACCATTCTTCTCACTCTTTCATTTTTCATTTTTTCTAATGATAAAATATCATACAACTGCTATCATATAAAATATTGACTTGTATTATTATTATTATTCTATAAAGATGTGTAATGTAAACAAGGTTAGAGTTCATAAGAAATGAAAATCTGATCAAGTGGAAAATTCAACGACGTTCCTATTAAATATTCTTTATGCACATATTTCTACCTCAATCATAATTATTATATACTCGTATCTTCTTCTATGTTATTTATTGTCACAGATAAAAAAGAAAAAAAAAAATGTGAAATTTCGATGGTTCGTCCCTATCAATTATCAATTTTATTGAACCATAAATCTCATTTTATATTATTTCTTTCTTTTTTTGTTTCTCTTATTTTTCAAATAATTCAACTTATTTCTAGATAATATTCCAATATTTAAGTTAATAGTTTGTTCACTAATCTTTCATTATTGTCATCTATCTATCATAATTCATCGTGAAATATTGCAGATGTCAAATTTTTCTTTTTTTAAACTCTTTCTTAATTTAAATCGAGAGTTACTTGACGCAGCAATTTAGACCCATTAAATATTATTGATACACATCAAATAATACTTTTTTTTTTTTCTTCTTCTTCTTCTATACAAATGAATATTACAATATCAAGACAAAATTAGATTATAGTCGTCACATAGATTATATACACATATTTTACTTTTCGATTTTCAATTTTTTTTAAACACACTTTCACGTCTCTAAGGAGAAGAAGTCTCATACGAGAAACATTCTTATAACAAAAGAATTTTATCAAAGACAATCGTGCCAAATATCATGATATTCAATCAACTCAATTCAAAAATAAATGAATTGTACTTCTTTTTTGTTTTTTTAGTGAGAATATCAATCGAGAAAAGAAAATTATTTTTGTTAAAATAAATCTTTCATCAAATTATAACGGGAAAAGTAGCGCTTATTTATACTAAAAATTGTTTACAATGGTAACAAACTGTTGTCGTAACTTAGTAAGGCAAAGAATTACTTCTATACTTTACATCAATAGACCGATAAAGTATTTTCACACGGTAATTTGCATTGCAATATATAGTGGATATGTCACAACAAAAAAAAAATAAAATAAATAGGCTGAAGCCATTTGACTATGGTAATCAAAAAAAAAAAAAATTAACGTATTTCTTCGTTTTTTTTCTTCATTGTACAAGGATTTTCTAGTTTCTTTTCTTTTTTTTTTTTTTTTGTTTTATGATGTCAGTATGTTATAAAAAATAAAACAAAACACCTTCGTCAGTATAGATTACATTCAAAAGATATATGTCCGATGATATGATTAATTCGAAAGCATGTGTGTATGTGTTTAAAAGAGATATGATCGACTTTAACACATAGACAATAAGAAGATAGTCAGTTATAAAAAGAAAAATCAATGTGTTTTTTTTTCCTAGGCTCATTGATCATCATCGTTATTACGAGAAGAAAAAAAAAAACCCATAGTTCTAATAGATAAATACTCAATGATAATGATGATTCGTTTTTGTTTTATTTTTATTTTTATTGAAGACAAATTAGTTATTGCGATGGATGAATGACGAACACGAACGATAGAGAAAAGATTGATAATCAAATGATGGATAAAACGAAAAATACCGTAACGTGTGTGATGTTATTGACAATATTTTAATCCATTATTTTCATATTCACCGATCTAGATCAGACTGTCGATTTTTTTTCAATTTAAATTAAACTAGAGATTTAAAATCATACTCATCGTCCTTTATCATGAGATGAAATACAATAGTTTTGATTTTAGATGTAAAAAAAAAAAAAAAGAGAAGAAATTGATATTGTATCACAATCGGATATTATGTAAGCCAAAGTCAAACTAAACAAAGTATCATATCAATCTTCATATACATTTCCAAAACATAGGATTTAAGCGTCATATAAGTGAAATAAATAAAGAGATAGATATAAGCTAATATGTGGAATAAGACATTCAACATTCATTTGGCTTTTCTTCTTCTTCTTCTTTTTTTTTACAGAGTTTTGTTGCCTATCAAAGACCAATATATAATTCATATTTCATTCGAAGTTTACTAATCAACTGTACACATTTGAAATTTGGTTAGAACAAGACTCACCTTGATATTTTTTTTGTTAAGAAACAATTCATATGGTAAGAAGAACTATAAACCATTTATTTGTATCCTTCCAGGACTCCTGTTTAACAAATGTCAAAAGAGTTTTGACAGGAAATGAATACTGAGCTGTCAAATAAACAGCAGCGCTTCTATTTCTCTTTCTCTACAATTTTTTTCAATTGTAAAACAAGAAAATGGATGCAAAACAATCTCGTTATTGTTTGTTGTAAATAGTTTCATCCTTCTTACAATTGGTCTTTGCTCTTCCCTTCTAATAACGGTAATTTTAAGATACACACATATATTATATATATATAAATAGATATATATAGATATAGATATAGATATAGATATATATATACAAAAGTCATACGTGTCTATGTCATTCATTTAATTAAGAATCAATTTCTGATAGCTTCAGGCGGTTCAGCCCGTGAACTATCTTAAATTTAATATTTAAATATGCCAGTGTTAACCATGTCCCAAATAGGATAACCTGATAAGATGAGCCCTAATGGCCCCTTGCTTAGACAAATTAGAGTTAGAACAGAATTTTAACTAAATATCACACTAAAATAGATCAAATGTACTTCAATAAAGATGTCAATTGTTTTTCTCTAGGCCGGGGGTGGTAAACAAAACTAAAAAGATTGTAGTTTAATTCAGTCACATGTGTTCTTTCAGAAACTATAGAATAGTTCTCGTGGAAATATAATCGATAGAAGAAATTTACACTTTTACAAAGTTTTGTGAAACTCCTCCTATGTCTCCGAAAGAAAGAGGAGTTGAAGTTTACACTCGAAAACCCTTGATTTTGGCCATTTTTAACCTCTCTTCCCCTAGTGGTCACATCGTCTTAAACTATTCAACAACTTTTAAGGATTTTCATCATTTTAGTCCCATAAGCGGCTGCCCTGACAAGATTTTTAATTTCTTTTGACTTAATTTCGGGTCATGATCAGTCATTATTTTTACCATGAAGCATTCTTTTTTTAAAATATAGAACAGATTTGTGATCAGCATAAAACCTGTATTAACCGATATGTCATTCGACTAAATGGTCATTTCTTAACCAAAATCTAGTCCTACTCTAATCACTCACACATAGATAATGTTTCACAATGTACGATGAGAAAATGAACGACGAGGATTGTTGTCTCTTTCTAGTTGTACCAAAAATACATTTAAATGTTCTTCTATTATTGGGAATAACAACTTTTTCTATGGATCATCCAGT